ATTGGGAACAATGCAGGTGTTAATCAGATCGGTGCATCTGTAATCAGGAGGAAGGTAGTTACCGTGTAGATGTATCTGACGGCCTCCGTCGTCCTCAGCTGGGGGTTCACCTGGACATGTGTCTTTACGACGTCGGCTGGCTGCGTGACCAGAGAGGCCAGAACACCAGCCAGAACCCCACAGCTGAAGTTAGCCACAGGAGCCGAAGAAGAGGAACTGATCTCTTCAGGACGTAGGGGGGAACAAATTGCAGAATTAGCTGGATCAGAACAGAGATCTATTACAGTTAAAGTAAATGTGTGTATTGATTTCCTCACCTTGCGGCAGCGAGGCCTTGGCCTGGCTGTAGAACATGGCGTAGATCCCAGAGAAAGGAACGTCTCTGAGCAGGGTGGCCATGAGGCCGGAGAACAGAGCGGTGGGGCCCTCGCTCCGACACACGCTGCGCAGCGCGCCACTCACGCTCACGTAGCTGTACCTGCCACACTGGATCACAAACACAAGCCGGCCGCATTACAAATTGAATCCCAGACTGAATCCCACAGCATGTCTACGTGTTAGGATTGTCATAGTCAAGCTAGCTTAGCTGCTCATTGGAAGTTTTTTAAATTAAAACTTCCAACTGACTTTGTTTTCAAGGTGTCATAGTGTTGACAATTAGTAGAAAAGCATTGCAGACCTTTTTCTTTCATATGAATCACGTACAAACAAGATTTAGCACTTTATGTTGACAACTTAACAGCTAAAGCCAATGACAGTCATTGTCAGCCAGCAGCTTTTTGCCCTCCTTCTGGAGCTGGGGGTTGAGATCTTGCGTGTGAAATCATGTTTATATTTGCCAACATTTGAAAAAATAAAAAAATAAAAATAAAAACAGACAAAATCAAAAACTGCAATCAGTTTCAGACGGTAAACATTGCCCACCTCGAACCGCGTCTTGATGACGGTGATCGGCAGCATCACAACCCCCGCCACGGTCCGGGCCCCGCCTCCCAGCATCACGGCCTGCGCCGCTCCCGGCCTGCTGTCCTGGAAGAAGTGCTGCTTCAGGGAGTGATAGGAGCTGAAGTAGATTCCCACTCCTGGGATGGTCCGGACGAACGACTGGAGCACCGGATGGAGAGGAGGAGGAAGAAGAAAGCACCTTTAGAGATCATCTCCCCTCCGTGTGACTCAACGGTTCACGTGGTGAAACATTTCCAGCAGACCAACCGGAGAAATGCCCTTCCACAGACCCAGCAGCCGCTCCGTCCGCACCACACCGAGGAGCACCGATGTCATCCCGACCCGGCTTGACCTGAGGAAAAAAAAAAAGAAATAAATAAATGTAACAATCAGATAAGCAGGAAAACGCTTGAGATGAGGTAAAACTATTGGAAATTAATAAAATCGATCAACTCACCCCGGCTGCATGCCACTTTGCGAGGTCTGCAGGCGGGTCTTGACCAGGTCCAGAGGCTGGAAGAGCAGGGTGGAGCAGGTCCCGCTGAAGGAGCCACACACAAAGGCTTTAATAGCCGGGTGAGCCTGGCAGATCACGGGCAAGGAAGGTGAAATGATTTACAACGTAATAGAAGAAAATGTACTTGCTTTCTGAGAAAATTTGAGAAATACTTCATGCGATAGAAGAAGTGGAAAACCTCAATAGTGATGGATGCAATGGGAAACTCACCAGTGACAGTTCCATAATGCTTGAGGTAATTTTCTGTCGTCACGTTCCAGAGCTCTTCAGAGAGAAGTTGCAGCTGGGAGTTTTTCCCCTGCAGTGGATGAATCGGGACACGTTGAGCGGTTTATATACATGGAGGTCATCTGACCAACCCCGTGTTTCCCATTTGCGGCCCACCCCAACACACTGCCATTTATTAACCAACTCAGAGATCATCACGATACCCATCAGCAAGAATCCAGGTCACAGCTAAAAGATTTCTGTTGACCACAATTCAACAAATAAATATTTGTGTGTGAGATCATTTATATCACCTGAAATAACCAAGGCGGGAAAACATTTTCCTGTACCATAATTTAAAAAAATATATTAAAGTCCATTTAATATTCCATCATTGGCACACGGAATGTCCTAATAGCTCACCACATACTATACAAGCAGTCATTTTCAATTGCAATATTGCAAACATTATTTCTATGATTGGGATTCCATATTTGCAGTTGAAAATACATGCAAATATGTCAATATTTGTGGAAATTTGTCAATAAAGTAATAAATGCAGAGTTTTAAAACATGTTAATTTGAAGACAATCAAAATTACTGTATTATTTTAACAATTTTAGAAGAATGTTAATTTACTAAAATATAATTAAAGTGTTGAGTTTATATTTCTCTGTCCTGAAATTATTCGATTTAATGGCTGTGGCTAAATAAATCTGCTAAAGTAATTACATGTCTTTAACATTTTCATTAATGATTTTCAAATTTGGTATTATTCAAATTTACATTTTATTATTTTTTTTAAATTATTTATTGAATTGTGGCACTGTTTGTCCTGCATAGACGACCTGAAGGTTGCAAACAGTTATAATAAATGTACAATGTAAGTGCATGCCAGCATACTCATTTGTTGTCTCTTATGGAAAATAATAGCTAAAACCTCCACAATTAGTTTTCTACTGGTACAAAAAACATATTTAAAAAAAAAAACAGTCAATTTTCTTGCCTTAATTTTTTGCTGAAATATCTAGAAATTGACATTATTCACGTTAGAACTATTTTTTTTTGTTTTTCCTCTTTTTATGTAATAGAGAGAAAATAAAAATAAAACAACACCCGAAAATCACCGTGAAAGAAAGTCTTATGGAGTGATGAGTCTGTGGTTACTAAAACGCTCCTCCACAGTGGAGTTTTCTCACACTGTGGGCTCCAGGGGATAAAAAAACAACACTGGCAGACTACAGTATCAGTAAAAATAAATACTTCCACCCGCCTACCATATCCTGGACAGAGGCAGAAGTAAAATCCCTTCACTGCAACCAAACGCTGACCTTTTATCTGCTCCTTGCTTCCTGATTGAAAACCGGCCGGCGCCGGTTTGGAGAAGAAACCGTGCTGAGAAGGCGCGTGCGGTTGTAAGTAGGCCCCGCCCATCAGTGAGGATTTGGGGACGTGATTGGGTCAAAAAGAAACATTTCTGTGTTACGGGGAAATTTCACAATAATAATTGATTTAAGAGACATTGTGGTAAGGGAAAGGACACGGCGTCTGACGTGAAATTAAGCAAACATCGTTCTTCAAGCGGGTTAAAAAATACTTTATCGGACTGGCTTTAAAACATTTCTAAAATTTCCTGGTCAGGTAATGTCTTCCCTATCCTATCCTATCCTGTCAAAATATAATTTTTCCCTTATGTGACTGACTAGGAAACTCATACAAGACTTAAAGGAAAAACAGCTTTTAGAAAGAGACGTCTGAAGCGTCACGGCCCTGTATGAACCAGCTGAGAGCGGTTTCTGCCGTTCAGCCGGTTCTGACCTGTTTATTCCCACATCAGCTTTTATTATAGACCATTACTGCCCTCTGCTGGTGAGAACAAAGTCCTCATGAACCCTGAACTTTTTCATATCTCAACCACTAAATTTCAGAACTTGATCCGATAGACCAGCAGAATGTAGTTCACAATATTAACAGAATGAAAAAACAAATTAGCAAATTTTTGTTACTTTTTTTGAGTCAATATTGTGGAAACACCTTTCAATATGATCATGGCTGTCCTTTGGGGTCTTTAGCACCGTTACGTACATAGGCTGAAATGGTTGCTCATCTGTATTTGTATCTCCAAGTTCAGTGAACCTGGACAGAGGAGCTTTCTTTTTCATTTACATGTTACCATAGATTTTTTAAATTTGCTTATGGCCTGGATCATTCTAATAGAGAATGTTGTGATCTAAATTTCATTGTGGATTTGGCTATGTTAGTTTAAAGTTGTCCTTTGCTGCATTCAAAAGATTTTCTTCTGGTATCGTCCTGCATTTAACTGGATTCATCTTTCTTGAAATCTGACCGGCTTCCTTGAGGCTGTTATATAAATAAAATAAAAAAATAAAAATCAGATTTATAAAGGTGACCTATTATACGTCCTTTAACACTTTGGGATAGGTCTTTAGGGTCATCAAAACATCATCTTTTCCAGCAGCCATTGTACAGCGCATACAGCAATTTTTGAATTGCCTCATTTTCCAGATTAAAAAAAAAAAAAAAAAAAAAATTCCAAAAAAATGGTTGGGTGCCTTTTTTGTAAGCACTTGGGCTATTTTTTTTCCAGAAGCAGTAGAGACCCAAATGAAAGTACAAAAATGTGAAAAATGTACAAAAACAGGACAAAATGGCAGTTTAGAAAGCATCTTTATTTGCAATATCATAATTGACCACATGACATCCAGCCAGAGTTGCGGTGATAAACGTTACAAAATAACTGGTGCACATTATTTATTTAAAATCCTTTTTTTTTCTTTTGGATCGCCTTTGTTTAGTAGGTACGAAATCTGCAATCTTTCGAATTACGAGTCGTTATTTTGGAAGTAACAACACAATCCTCTCACTTTCCAGCAGTGTGAGCCAAAAGGTGATCCTGGGCACAGCCTGTGAGGGGCTTCATGTCACGATATCTCCACCAGATCGCATGCAAAAAATCTCTTATCTATACCACACTGCTGCCAAGCTGTAGAGTATCAAAGAATCTCCCTCCCTCTTATATCTGCCTTTGGTTCATCTCTCTTAGCAAGCTGTGCCCTAAGAATACAGTGTGTGCTGCGAGTCAAAAAAACAAACAAAGCTACCCTACCATTTATACTTCACCCTGAACATACGAAAAACACTGATGGCGAGAAAAATGACAATCAATGTACGTCCAGAAAGCAAACAACAGCTGTGAACCCTGCCAAGTAGGTGTCAGTTGCATTTAAGGCTTTTTATAGTGTGTGTTGGCAGTGTGTGTGTGTGTGTGTGCGCATGGTCATTCAAAGACTTCAAAGCTGCATCTTTGCCGTTTTGTTGGAACTCCACAAATGCAGTGGTACGTCATTTAGGTTCATAACTTTTCTTCAGTGCAAAATTAAGAAAATTTCAGCGCACCAATTAAAACCTTCAGGACATCTTCGGTCAACTTCACATACAAAATATTCTCGGCCAAAACATTGAAACGAGCGCTAATCGTAGCTAGGCGTGTCGAGTACATTTCAGGATATTGCATAAATCTTTATGAACCTCAAAGAAGAGCAACAAATGAGCATGATACACATGAAGCATTTACCATCCTTAGCCATTATTTTAAACGAAACAAAAAAAAAATGTCTGCATAATAGAAACTTCTACTTGATATTTACTTTGGTCCCCTTCCATGTAATTGGCTTCATTCTTTTATTTTCCCTTCTATTAGAAAAATAAATCCTAAATCAGGTCTATTACAAGTCTAAATTTTCCTTATAAAAATAGTTACTTTTCCCAGAGAATGAAAAAGGAAGTGATGAAAGAAATTGAGCCAAAAAAAAAAAAAAAGAAACGTGAGAGTGTGTTGGAAAAGCGATTGTCTACGTTTACTGGCGTGTAGCTGTTATGGATGCATAGTTTGATGCTGTTCGGATAGATCGGACAGTCGCAGGACTGAACTTGGACTGAGCAGAATCCCTGCCTTTAGTCTGGACATGATTTTCTTTCTTCTTTCCAGTATTTGCTGCTCTTTCTGGTTAGGATTCAGCGTGGAGGAGGCGAGAGGCAGAGGGGCCGGAGGATGGGGCCCTTTAAGCTTGGGGCTCCGGGGCTTCGGCCTTGGGCTCGGCTTCCTCATCGCTCTCCACGTTTTCCACGCGAGGGACAGTGCGGCGAGTTACGCTGAAGGGCAAGTCGCCACGCCTGGAACAGAAAGTTAAAGTTAGGAAAAGCTAATCAGGTCTATTAAAAGGAACGTGTGTCAAGGTCAAGGGTCGGGGGCCAAATCTGGCCCGCTGCAGCTTTTATGCGGCCCTCATGAAATCCCTTCAAAATCAGCAGATTAATGCCTTCTTTTGCTCTAATAAATAGATGTGACTTTATTGCAAATTTTCCTCAAAAATGGTCAAAAACATTGGGCTTCAGTGATGCTAACTCCCACCTGCAGGTGGCAGTGTTTGTTCAACACTGCTGCTATTCTCTATGAAAGCATGGAGAATATAAAATAAATACAAGTTTTACTTAAGTGCAAATTTTGCTAAATTGTTTTAATATATTTGCACAAAACGAGAAAAAAAAGTAATCCTAGAGGGACTGATCAATGTGAAAACATCCAATATTTAATTTGAACTATTTACCAAATGCAGAGAGCTATTCATTAAATGTTAACAGGATATAGTTTTATCAATAGATTCCAGCACAACCGGCCCTTTAAGAACGTTCATGATCTACATACAGCCCAGAATGAAAATCTAAGGTATAACCTGCATCAGTCATCTCTTGTTTTGTGACATGATGCTGCTGCTGAGGGAGTTGTGCGTCGTCGTGGTCTTCCTACCTCAGCTTGCTCTTGAGGGAGGCCACCTCGCGGTTCATGGCGTCCGCAGACTCCGTGGCATCCTCCAGCTCCCTCTGGAGTTTCCTTCGGTTGGCGTTGGCCCTCTGGGCCTCCTCCTCAGCCTCCTCCAGTTGGCGCTTCAGCTGCTTCATGCGAGAGTTCAACTTGTCCGCCTGGAAAGGACAAATTAACTCTGATGAGGTTGGATGAACAAAAGCATTTATTCGACATCGGTGCAAAGCCCCTCCATTATGCCTGCGGTCTAGTTAAAGGGAGGCTAAGCTAACGTTTTCATATGTGTTTCAAATGTGTTTCAGAGGAAGTGGGAGGCGGACCTGGTCCTTGTGCTGCTCTGCACTGCGCCTCTCGTCATCCACCTGCAGGATGACTTCCTTCAGCTTCTTCTCGGTGCGTCTCACCAGTTTGGTGGCAGTCTGCCTCTCCCTGAGGAAAAGCACGGCATTAGTAGAAGTTCAGAAAAACATTTTTTAAGTTGGTTCCTTAAGGAATCACAATTCCTAGTCCTGAGTAAACTGCATATCGCATTAGGTGTCTATTTTGAAAAATTTTATTTAAGAAAATTCAGCGTTTGAAAAGTTGAATATTTGCTAGGCAGAAGTCAGAATTTTTTTAATTAATTTTTAATTAATTAATTTGTTCAGATCAGCCACATTTCCACACCTGGTTTCGATATCCAGCTGCTCCTCCAGCTGGGCGATCTTGGCCTCCAGGGCGGCCATGTTGGCCTTGTACTTGGACTTGACGGTTCCCTCGAGCTCCTGCAGCTTCAGCTTCAGCTCCTTGTTCTGGCGCTCCAGCTGGCTGCGCGCGCCCTCCAGCCGCTGAGAGGTGCTGCGCTCTGCGGTCAGCTCCACGTTGATCTGGTCGGTCTAAAGAGGAGACAAACCAGTTGGGTTTGAACTGGTTCGGTCTGGGTGAAAGGCGACCGTTAAAGCACAGACGGACCTGCAGCATGGCCTTCTTCAGCCGGTCGTTGATGAGCTCCGTGTTGCACTGCTCCTCCTCCAGCTCCTCCTCCAGCTGGGTGATGCGAGCCTCCAGCCGCCTCCTCTCCTCTGCAACCTGAGCGCTGAGGGGAAACGGATCAAAGGTTCAGAAACACAGACTATGAAGGAAAGTCGAGCTCGTTTTGACAGGAGTCTTACTTCTTGGCGGCCTGGTTGTTGATTTCGTCCTGCAGCTCGTCTCTCTCCTGCATGGCCTGTCGCTTCACTCGCTCTGCTCCTGCCAGCTCCTGAATTATGGTGGAGGAATTAAAAAAAACACATCAGTAATCAGCAGGTGGTCAGTGGTAGGCGAACTGGACACCTGGTGTTTTCACCGACCTCCTGCATCTGGATCATGTCGGCCTCCATGCCCTTCAGCTTCTTCTCCGTCTCCTTGCTCTGGGCCAAGATCTCGTCTCTGGACATGCGAGTGTCCTCCAGCTCTCGGAGCAGATCCTTCATCTGAGCCTGAGGATTACAAATAAAAAAAAAAAAAGTTCAAACTGAGGTCCTGGGAAGACATTTAATAGCTTTAGGGTTTAGTAGCTGCGCTCACTTGAAGCTTCTTGAGCTGCTTCAGGGCCTCATCGCGGTTCTTGTTGGCCATGTCGATGGCAGCCTCCAGTTCCTTCAGGTCCAGCTCCAGCTTTTTGCGCGCCGCCACGGCGGCAGAGCGCTGCTTCCTCTCGTCTTCCAGCTCCATCTCCATCTCACGCACCTACAGGGGTCACGTCCGCTGATGTTAGCCACAAGAAATGTGAAGTCGTTGCCTATAACCATGATTAACAACCAAAAGTAGTTTTCATATCTGATCACGTTACAACTTGTTTTCCTGACCCGTCTGCTGCGCTGCCTTGGTTTTCACAGCATGGCTAATTAACTTTATTCTCGTATTATTTTGATTTTGTTGTCATTCAACTTCATCCTTACGACTTTAGATTTTTTTATTTGTAGTAAAAAAAAGTTTAAAATTATGTCGATTAGTCAAATCAGATAGAATCTCAGTCAAACCCAGTGAAACTTGCTGTTATATTGTGACCAAACATGAAAAGTTGAGGCGTAGAAACATCAGCCGGGCTTCGTTCCTGTCAGTGACCCAGGGACGGACAGACCTGTTTGACCAGAGCTCTCTTCTTCTCCTCTCCCATCTCGTCGCGCCCTGCCAGGTCTCTCTCGTACTGCGCCTTCATGGCCTGCATGTTGACCTCCAGACGCAGCTTGGCGTCCTCTGTGGCCTGCAGCTCGTCCTCCAGTTCCTCCAGCTGAGTCCTCATCTCCTCCAGCTGCTGCTCCATGGCACGTTTGGACTTCTCCAGCTCGTGGACCTGCAGAGCACGGGCAGATGGAGAGTTAAGGCTGGAGTTTGCAAAAAAAATAATTTACCCAGTAAAAAATTTTTTTTTTTTTTTTTTTTTAAACTTACGTTCTTGCCCACGTCATCCTTAGACGAAACCAGATCCTCCATTTCGGCGCGCAGCAGCTTGTTGTTGCGGTCCAGCTCCTCCTTGACGTCCATCAGAGATTCCAGTTCTCGGGTCAGAGCCAGAGCACGGGTTTCTTTCTCGCGTGCCTCGGCTTCAGCTCGGTCTCGCTCCTCCGCATAGCGCGCAGAGATGTTCTTCTCCTCTGCGAGCATCTGGAAACGACAGAAAGCCAACGGTTACGGCTTCGGCCTTCAACGGGAACCCCGGCGATTCCTGCTTCGGCATCTCTCGTCGACCTGGTCAAACTTCTTCTGCTTCTTCTCCAGGTTGGAGACGATCTGTCGGAGGTGGTCCTGGTCCACCAGCAGGTCGTCCAGCTCCTGCTGCAGACGCGTCTTTGTTTTGTCCAGCTTGTCAAACGCGGCGCATTTCTCCTCCAGCCGCTGGTTGGTGCTCTCCAGGTCCCTCTGCAGTCTCTTCTTCCCCTCCTCGGCGGACTCCAGGGAGCCGGCGTCCTGCTCCACCTTCTTCCTCATGTCAGCAAGCTGTGGAGAGGCGTTGCTCGTTTGTTATCAGTGCAACCGGTACACTGGTGTTGAAACACTTGAATAAAATTGTCAGTAGAAAGTTTGCTCCAGCAGCTGATTGGTGCGTCTCACCTGAGCCTGCACCGTCTGAAGCTGCCGCTCCACATTCTTCTTGGCTTCCTCCTCTTCCTCCAGCTGCTCTTTCAAGTTGTTCTGTTCGTCCTCCAGCTGCCGCAGACGAGTGTTGAGGGAGAGCTTCTGACGCGTCTCTTCTTGGAGGAGTTCCTGTGGCACAGCAAGACACAAACTTTGACTTAACAGTTGCATGATGACGTATGTAAGGTTTAAGCTTTCAGACTCATACAGCATCTGACAAACTGAAGGTAAAGAAAATAGTGCTCAGCATTGCTTGCGGTGTCCCCCACAGGTGAGTACTTGGTCTGTTTATTATACATAAATTATATTTCTAATGATATTTCTAATGTCTGTCTGCAGCTACGTTTGGTTCTGCCATGTTGTACCTGGGCGTCCTGCAGCTGGGATTCCACAGCCGAGAAGTCTTTAGTGGCCTTTATGGATTTGCCCTCAGCCTCACTCAACATGCCGTTAACATTGTCCAGCTCAGCCTGTGGAGAGATGAAAAGAAAGGACAAACTTCAGTAGATTGTCGAAGTGAGTTTTACCTTGTGTCAGTGATCGTACGCCGTATTTGATGAATACCAGGGTTAACAATTTGGAAAGCGGTGGATCCAGAAACGTACCTGCACTTTAGCCAGTTTCTCAGCCAGCTCCACCCTCTGGCGCTCAGCCTCAGAGTATTTGGCCTGCAGCTCCTGAGTCAGCCCTTCGGCCTTCTTCCTGCGGTGCTCGGAGTCAGTCTTGCCCTGCATCAGCGTCTGCAGCTCGATGGTCAGCTCGTTCTTCTCAGACTCCAAGGCTTGTTTGGCCTTCTCCATCGACACTTTGTTCTGCAGGGGGAAAAACAGAAAGTCAGTGGTTGTTGTTAAGAAGATACAAGTGGAGAAAGAAAGAGCAGAGGGTAGTAGCATGGAGAGTGTACCCTCTTCGCCTGCTCCAGCTGCTCGTTAAGCTCGTCGAAGGCCTGGCTGTGCTTCTGCCTCATCTCAGCCAGCTGATGCTCGTGGACTCGGGCTTCTTCCTCTAGGCTCTTCTTCAGCTGAGTCACCTCGGTCTCACGTTTGGTCCTGTAGGAGCAGCAGCAGAGGAGAGCAGGCTTATGAGAAGATCAATGCCTTCAAGAGACGCTTCGCTTTCACAAAACCAGACGAGGTCAGAAACCTTCAGGCCATGAAGAGCCTCTTACTGAAGTACCACTAACTCAGTCACCTGGAAACAGTCGCAATAAGAAATATTCCTGGACAATGAATTGTCCAGGAAATTATTGCGATAAATGATAATATCGTCATTTTGAGACCATTTTCAACTGATGTAATTATAATCTTGGCATATTAATGCAAATGAGCCCTTTGAAAGACACAAAAATGCCAATTTCTAAAGAATATTTAAACAAAACAACAATAATTAAAACAGATTATAAAATCTGTAACCAAAATTGTGTTTCAGAAAATGATCTTTCAAGCTTTGAAGGGGAAAACGAGCAAAAGTGCCAGTTTGAACTTTCTGTTTTACAAATTCCAAGCCGAGTGTTTAGTAAATGTCAAATGTTTGCAGCATTTTTAAAAAATATTAAAGGCCAATATTTGTTGACTACTATAATTTATTATGCAATTTATTTATTTATTTATTTATTGCTTATTTTGACAGGTTTCACTGAGAAAGCCTGACCCATTTTTTTTCCTACAAATTCCAAGTAGAAAAGGCTGAAACTTAAGAACCACAATTAAACATGCAGCGGCATGATCCTCCTACTTCATTGAAAAATGTGAGTTTTTTATAAATTGAAACGTTTCCATTAAGCAAATTTACCTTCCATAAGGTGAATGGGAACTGAAGCAGTCTTCCTACCTGAGCTCCTGCATAGCCGCTGTAGAGTCCAGGGTGTCCTCCAGCTCTGTCTTCAGGGCCTCCAGCTCCTCCCCCAGGTCCCTGCGGTGTTTCTCGGCCTTCACGCGGGCCTGCTTCTCCAGCTCCAGGTCCTCTTGCAGCTCGGACAGCTGAGCCTCCAGCTCTCTGATCTTCTTCTGAGCCATGTTCTTCTGGGCGGCCTCCTCCTCGATTCTTAACAGAGGACATTCACAGCAAAGTTTAGTGAACTGAGGCAACAAGTTGATGGGTTTTACGCAGAGGCGACGTTCGGCGCTCAAGCAGACCTGGCGAGGGCGGCCTGCAGCTCCTCCTCCTTCTTGGCCAGCTGGGCGCGCAGCTCGGCGATCTGAGCCTGGAGCTCAGCAATCTGGTCGTGCGTCTCGGTGAAGTCGCCCTCCAGTTTGCGTCTGTTCTTTTCCAGCTCCTGACGCGCCTTCTCCTCCCGACGCAGCCGATCTGAACACGAGGTGATCGATTATTGATTAGAGAAAGGTGGTAGAAATCATACCACCTTGGACTAGGACTAAGGGCTATGAAGTTTGAATGTCAAGCGCTTTTGAGGACTTTATGCAGAAATCAAGCAGAGCTCATTCAAATTCAAGCCTTTTCAAGGATTTCAAGCACCCTGATTCTAAATGTTTCTCCTACCTTCCAGGTCTGTGATCATGGCCTCGTGTTTCGTCTTCAGTTTCTGTAAACTCTTGGATTTTTCCTCCTCCTCTGCCAGGTTGGTGGTGAATTCAGAGATTCTCTCTTCCATCAACTTTTTCTCCTGGATGAGGAGAAAAAAAATGTAAATAAAATTGTGACACGACAAAAAAAAAAAAAAAAAAAAAAAAAAAAAAAAAACGAAAAGGGTTTTTATTTTATTTGAGAAACCACTTATAAAAGGTTTAAAAACTTTTT